CTTGGACCCAACGGACTTGGACCCAAGGGGCTTATACCCAAGGGGCTTGGACCCAAGGGGCTTATACCCAAGGGGCTTGGACCAAGGGGCTTGGACCCAAGGGCTTGGACCCAAGGGGCTTAGACCCAACGGACTTGGACCCAAGGGTCTTAGACCCAAGGGGCTTAGACCCAAGGGGCTTAGACCCAAGGGGCTTGGACCCAAGGGGCTTGGACCCAAGGGACTTGAAACTAATGGATAGGGAGCTGAGGCGCAAGGATTCAAGGGATATGGAACCTAGGCATCAGGATTCGAGACGTTTGGGCCCAAGGGGCATGGTATCCAGATACTTGGATCCAAGGAACATGGATTTAGGATACGTGGACCCACGGGACTTAGGCCCAAGAGACAAGGGCATAAGAGACATGGGCCCGAGGGGCTTGGAATCAGCGGACATGAACATAATTGACTTGCACCCAAAGGACTTGGAATCAAGTGCCATGGACACGGATCTAAGGGCCTTCGACCCAAGGGACATGGGCCCTAGGCATGTTGTCACAAGAGCCGCGGGTACAGGGAACTTGGTCCCAAGCGAATTCGACCGAAGGAACGTGGGCTCACGAGATATTGATCCAAGGGACTCGGGCCGCAGGAACGTGAACCGAAGGAACGCGGCAAGGGACTTGCTGGCTAAGGACTTGGACTCAAGGGGCATAAGGGAGGCAGATTTGGAACCGAGACGGTCGAGCTCAAGGCCGGTGGAACCATTACGACCGAACAACTCGGTGCCGGAGGGTCGATCTGAGCTCCGAGGTTTGCAGACGTCATTGAGCCGTAGTCCCATCCAGTATAAGGAGCTGGACCGGTATGATGACCCGTCGCGGGGTAGTGGAGGGCTAGCTGGCCCGAAGGACGGTCGCAGATCTTGGCCCTCTTGGGAGCCGCAGCCTTTTGACGCAGAACCGCCGTTACACGGAGAGCCGCTGATGGAAGGAGAGTCGCCGCTGGACGGAGAGCCGGGTTGGTTCGAGCCGTTGGAACCCGAGGCGTTCGCGTCACAGCCGAGTGACTGCGAGTGGTTCGAACTGGAATCAGAATGATCCGAGGTAGATCAGGCAGGATAAAGTCTTGGTGGATGACGAGGTCGCAACATTCCGCCAGAGAAGAACGCCGCCGCTAGAGGGGGACGCAGCCAAAATGACCACCATTGCGCAAAATGACGAATCGAAACGGCCCAGCAAAGCTTCAGCGTCGAGGGGGCGACCGCTTCGTCCATTCACGTTCAGCAAATGGCAGAGCTGGTTGGACTAACACCTTTTTATTACAGAGCTGGACTAACACCTTACGAACATCCGCCACCCAGCAGGGTGTGGATGGGTGGTAGCCGAAGAACGGGAGTGGGCGGACGATTTGGTTCAATTGAAAAAGACTCACCCAATCTCACTCACTCCTGGGAGAGACCCGACTCAAAGAGACCTTGATTTGCGGCTTTTTCGTCGAAGGCTTCCCGGCGTGTGGGGTGAATCGGATTCCTCCGCAGGTCGGGTGTGTGTCCATGTGGCTGTTTCTTATTCTTGGACCGTTCGCATTCGCGGTGCTGCAGCTCCTTGCCCACCTTAATCCGTGCGTCGTACGCACTCTGCACTACGTTACTGTCACTACTCCGGTGCATGCTCCTCACTCAATTGCCCCCCTAGGTCTTCCTCAATTTCCTTCTTCGTCCGAACACGCGGCTTCGGAGGGGAACGGTTCGACGATCGAGCTGGCGACCGGTTCGGTGATCGACCTGGCGAGCGATCCGGTGACTTCGTGCCCGGTGACTTCGTGACTGGTGACTTCGCAGCCGGTGACTTCGTGACTGGTGACTTCGCAGCCGGTGACTTCGACGGTGGTGACTTCGCCACAGACCTGACTGGCTTGCGTGACTCGCCCGTTGTCCTAACGGGTGACTCGCCCGCTGTTCTAACGGGTGACCCACCCGCTGTTCTAACCGGTGACTTGCCCGTTGTCCTAACGGGTGACTCGCCCGCTGTTCTAACCGGTG